TAATAATAGTTCAATAATAATAATTCCATAATATCCTATTCACGCGAGAGAAAAAGGTCACCGTCCGTCAGCGTAATCATCAATCCCGTAATACAACGGACTCGAGAGTCTTAAGACACCCGAGGAAAACTGACGCGTTTGCGATCTTCGGTTAACGTTTGTGGACGCAAAGCGTGTTGCGGAAGAACGGAACGCGAACAGGGCAACCTAACGCACGACGGTCGATTGCATTTATCCGCGAGTCTCCTCTTGCGAAGAGATCGGTATTTCTTTCTTATAATCTTTCATCTTAACGCGCCACGATCTCTCTCGCGACGGCGGATACACGTCTCTCTTGCGAGACAAGACGAGTCCCCCTTGTCCCCGGCAACACCCCTTGGCAACTCTCGTCTCGTTAGCCGATGGGAACAGATTTCTGATTGCGTCCCCCCCTCCCGTTGCCGAACGCCGTCGTCCGACTGCGGTACACACGGTGCAACTGAGCACCTCCGGGTGGATTTCGCAAAGAGACCATTTCCACGTCGAGCCAGGTCGACGTGGTTACCGAAATACAGCAACAATACCGTTCGGTTAAAGCATTCTCCTTTGTTCGGATCCACGTCGCGCCCGCTTCGCCGATGAATTCTGTTTCATATCTGATACCGGCCAGATACGCGACCGAGACTGACGTGGATCACGACGGCGTTATGGTCACTTTCGGATTTCGCAAAATCGTGCAGGCTGATTCGGTTCCGCGAGAAACCTGCGAGAAGCTCCGTTTGGCACAATTACACTCGTCGATGGAGCGGTGCGATTCTTTGATGAGAAATGCACGAGCGAAGATGCGACTGGAAGTCTCCGACGGTACTCTCGGTAGTTGCCGCTTGCAATGTTATTACGTAAACTAAATCGACAGGCATAAGCGGATTTACTAGCAGGAGTACTAATCGGTTGCTTCAGGCAACCGTTTTACTACTTGAGAGTCTCCTAATTGTTTAGTCAATTGGTAGCCGCTCATCTAGTAGTAAAGTTTATACTTGTATGTACATAAAAAAATAAGCGATCCGTTTAAGCAATCAAAGTTGTAAATCTTGTCCATCGAACTGACACGCATCATTGTTTAACAATTGCGCAATTATTAATTTTGTCTGCCTTGCTGCAATCAGCCAATCAGCAGCGATGAACTTCTCACTACTTGATCGATATTTTCGACTTATATATATATATATTTTTTTTTTTCGTTTTAATAAATAAGTCGGGGCTTTCCAAGCAAGATCTTCCGATGGCAAAATTTTCCCCGAATATACCACGAATTTCCCGAGAGACTCGCCGTTTCGCAAGGCTTTTCAATGAAATATTCACCGGAGCGCTCGACTCTATCCAAGCTCGGCCACTGCTGCGGCGAAGTTTCGCAAATCGGTCTTTTCGCATGCGAAACCGACCTACCGTGCTACCGGATTGCAAAAGGCTTCGCCTCCCTCCCCGAAAGTAAGAGACGAACGTGCAGTACCGCCCGCGGGAGATTTCTGCATTTGGGAATGTTAAACCGTCGCTGTGTCGCGGGAACGTTTCTTCGGGGAAGGAACCTCTCGCGGATAATTACGTATTATGTAGACACGTTTAATTACTCGCAAACACAAACGAAGCAACACACACATGCACGCACTCGTTCCAGACGCTCAACATTTTTCACTCGGATATCGTAAATCTCATAAACGAGATAATTATAATGAATCGTTCGCTCTTACCACTTTTCTTGGACCCCGAGTGACTTACGACGTGACAGTAAAGTATGAAGATGCATTAATAAAACTTTAATTAACTAACATTCCATTTGATATTACTTTGTCTCTACGTACAGAGATTTATTTGTCAAATTTATCCTAAGCACAAATTTATAGAAAGAAATATTTATTTTTAAAGAAATTATTTTTCAAGTTCAAAAAAAAAAAGGCACAGATGTTCAAATTACAGAAGTCAGTCTTGCGTACGCGGAAAGACTAATTTTGCCGAAGTATCTAAGAATTTAGTTAGATACGAATTTAAAAATAATTCAGTTGGGCCATCAAAATAATTATGCAAGAAATTCAAACATAAATAAACAATGCTGCAAAAAAAAATAGCAGAAAAATTTTGCTATTCAACCAGTTAAGCGTTCTACATAATTATTTCTACATAGTTTAATAAAACGATTTCCAGATCTATTTCTAGCTAAATTTTCAGATACTTCAGCAAAATCGTTCCGTGTAATTCTACAGTTGATGTATATTCAAATCGAAAGTAATAATTAAGTAACATCCCACTGAAATTAATATTCATTAATTTTACGCTAGTACCTCCATCTTACATAGTTTTGAAGTAACATTACTTATACGACGTTTATCGGCCTCCTCCTGGAGTAATTAACTCGGCCCGAAAGACATGCCGTCGTGACAGCGCAGGTTTGAAAGAAAAGTGTATTCGTGCGTTTCGGGTGCGCAGCATTCGGTCGTCCATGTGGGACATTCCTGTCAATCGAGGATCAGGCGCGACGGTAAGCGAGCTCTTGGAGAATATAACGCTACCCTCGGGCGCACCCCGGGGGATCGGCGGGCGCGATAGCTTGATTTCCGCGTGTGCCAGTTATCCAACGGCGCGGACATTACGTAAACTGACATTTTCTCAGCTAATACGAGCGAGCGAGCGAGCGAGCATGCGATTCCAGCCCGAGTTAGCAGCGAGTTCTACCGCGATAGCCTTTCCCGCGCCGCGGACCCTCTCGAATGAAAAAAAACTTTGTCTCAATAAATTGTCCTGTCGCGCGAGACCGCGCAATCAATTCTCCGTCCGGTTGATCTGCAATATTCCTTATTCGTTACGATTACCTGTACACTCTAAAAAATATCGGTGTGGTTTTAGCACCATGTGGTGTCCACATAATTCTCACCGTGTTGGTGTAATACTACATCGACGTGATAGGGATTTATGATCCCTGGTATTTACATCAGAAGTATATTTATGTAAAACTCACATAACATGACGTTAATACGTCAATATTAACAACTGTGAGAATTATATAACGCATACTGAAAAAAAAAAATACTCAATTTTGATACATGTTTCTTTAAATAGTATTATATAAAGCATAATCTTAAAGTATATAAATAAATATCTACTCAATGAAAAAAGGGATAGTTAGATTAAATTGAGTTTTTGTATCAAATAAATGTGTTTACTTGGAAATATTCAAATATATATTCAATTTTTTTTCAGTGCAAGTGTTAAATTCACACCGGAATTTTTTAGAGTTTACCGTTGAGCGAAATGACCGATTGAAATATTCCATTAACATTTTAATGATCTTGATAGGAATAAAATTCTTATAAAAGATTTCTAAGTAAAAAATTCGCTTCGAAGGATATCGAATGGATGATTTTAACGCGACTGTGCATTAAGAGTAAAATTTCTAATTCGGTGCTCAGTTCATTAATAATGAACTTGTTAAATTCTGAATATTAAAGATTATATAAGAGGCAAAGTGCAATGACACTTGTGTTTTGAGTATCAAAGACCACCCACAAAAGAGAGGCAAAGTGCGACATTCTACGACTTCGGATGTGTAAAGTTAGTTAGTTTGACCGCGTTTATATGTCGTCTTTAAACGTACATTCTCGGTAAAGAGGAGGAGGTACGCAACGATTAATGAGTCAGGTAAACTCACCCACTCTCGACACGACCGCCAGGATCAGCAGCACGCTGCTCACGATTATCATCTTCCCTCGTGGCCGTTGGTCGCTGGCGTAGAAATCACAACGTAGTATCGATGGTCGAAGACGAAGGGTTGCGGTTGCGGCTGTTATCCTCTTCTCCTCTTCACGCGGACTCTCACACACCCCGACCGCACCGAAGGGAGGCGAAACCAGCGCGGGGATTTCAAAATTCGTTCGAGTCCTCGGTGTCTCCGGATCCACCGGACTCGGATTACCCGCGGACTGACTTCGCGCGGGTCGATCGTCACTCCGAATCTCCGTTTTTTTTCCCCCTTCCTCTTCCTCTTCCTTCCGACGAGCGAGCCTACGAGAGCCGCAGCAGCAATGCAGCACCGTTGTTCAGAGCCGCGAATGCGCCATGGAATACGTCGCAGAACGTATGCTACGGTCACGAGGAGAGAAAGGTGACTGCGAGTATATACGCGAGGCGTGCACGATGCCGCCCGTCTTCATGGCATAGTCACCTTTCTAGCAGAGCGAGCAACAAGAAGGGAGCCTTGGTGCTATACCCACCACCGCGCGCGTTGCCCACCACCTCATCAGTGCGATAGACGTTCGCGATCACCAGGAATGGAGTGGGGACCAGGTGGTGGACACTGCTCGTCTTCGACGGTCATTCAAAATCCGCATCACTCGAGCTTTTCTTTCGACGCCGCACTGCATTTTAACCCCGAATTCGTTCTCGGTTTCATGTAGCCAAAGAGGGTGCGCGATGACTAGGAGAAACATTTCAATTTACGTGATGAGGCCAATTATCTGTTACAATAGCTTTTTAGAAAGAAGGTAGTATCCTTGATCGTATCCTTGCAGAAGAAAGCTATGGATTACCGATAATGAAAGCTTGAAGAGCGATAGCGCGGAAAAACGTAAGCAGTGAAGTGACTGAACGTAGCAGTAAGCGAGTTAGCCAATCACAGTCGAGGCAACTATTTTAAAACTCGCGGCTCTGACCGCGAGTTTTAAAAATGATTCGCTTACTGCTTAAGATTTACCATGCTTATGTTTTTCCTGTTAGGTTGTATGACATAGATAACAATTATAAGTTACAATCAGATAATTATTATACGGAGTTATAATCATATTATTTCACGGTATAAATGAAAATGATTAATATTATTTCTTTAAATATATACTATGTGTGTGTGTGCTTCTATTTGGAGGACGAATCAACGTCCTTCCAAAATTAGTAAGATCTATAATCACATCACGGGATCTACTACTGAATGATCAATAAAAATAATTATGTTATCTTCAAATAGCGTTTTTTTTTTGTACAAAACAGTTTATTTTTTTTCCCCCATATAAAATGACTAATACTATATCTTATTACCTTACATTATTTTTTTCCGCAATACGATTATATGGAAAATGTTTAACAGATCGGAACCATCACTTCACATCGGATAGAATCAAAATATCTATGGCCACTGCATAGGACTTTTTTTCTTTGTACGAAGAATTACGCTTGCCTTCAGTGACCGGTAACGATTGGAACATATTTGATTAGGATTGTTCGCCGAGCAATTAAAGGATAGAGATTATCCTACCAGTTTCTATATACACCCAGATACTAATTTACATTTATCAATTGATGCAACTCAAGGACAATCGTAAAGTACATCAATCATTGGAATTAATGACACGAAATTCTGGGTAACAATAAGAATTTCAATTAACTCGCTTTTGATTCTAACGCATACGCATACCTCCTCAAGTTGCAGAAATATAGTGTGCATAAAAATTATGGAGCTTCTTCAATATTTCTCTAGAATGATTACGGAACGTACAATAGAAAAAAAAAACGTATCACATATATAAATAACTTTCCGTCTTCAAGACACATGCAGATGCCACATTATTGTACAATCCTTCTAACCGAGGGGATTACAAATTATCTTTCTCATCGTGTAACAATGTATATCGGTGTAAACGACTAGATATTGTTGCGACGCCTTGATAAAGAAAATTTCTTTTTTTATTCTTTTTTTTTTCAAGCATGTTCCTGAGAACTCGGCAGTATTCGAATAGATATGCTGAACTGAATAGATATGCTGATCAGATTCATTAAATACACTCGTGAACCAATGCGATCGGTAGAACGTGATTACCCATTAAAACAATGCAGCGTACGCAATAGTATGCACATAAATAATTGTGCATAATTATAAGATAAATTGACAGAATCTCTTTGTATATAAAATTTTATCAACTTTAAATATGTGATATATATATTTTAAAAAGAGATAAAAGGAGTAAAAAGGGGAAAGAGGTTAGTAAGGCGACGCTTAAAATTATATCGTATTAAATTAAAATTATTTGATAGCAAGAAAAATCGATATCGATAATCGCATTAAACTCTAACATCTTTACAATCATTTTAAATATAAACAGATCTGGCTTGCACCTCGTCTCAATATAAACATCGACTTTCACGTCATTACTATCAAAGCACTTGACGAAGTCCGCCTTAAAATTTTACGGATTTCTTACGTATCCCGAATCTAAGAAAAATTACATGAAATACATTTATTCAAATAGAAAAACATTCGCAAATCTTTATGATTAAAAATATTGTTATACATACAAATATGATACCTTTTTTGCTTCTTTTTTTCCTTTTCAGCTGCAAGATAAATTACGTATGAAAACACGCGCGTAAGAAAAATTTGATTTTTCTATCTCTTTTTACATCAAACCGTTCAAACGATTTCACTGTAGTGAAAAATTCAAGTATTTCTTAAACAACTTTTTCTTTTATAATTATGAAATTATAATTTGTATGTACATCAATTAAATGCCCGCAGTTAATAATAGCTGCGCGAAACATCGTCAAATTGAAACGACGTCGTTACGATTCTACAATTTGTACAAAATTACTAGCAAATAAATTGCAGGGATATCACCATACGTCCTTGCTGGATAACGGACTTTGATTTTCTGCCCGACAATACCGATAGCCTAATATGGCATAGCACGCAAACGGACAAACGTGTCCCGTACAACTGTATATGCACATTCGCACGGCAAAGACGGTAGATCTGTTTTTTTAGCTATATTTATTGCACTTGTTCACATTATTCCGCTCTTTCCTTTTTCATTCTCTAAAATACATAACTTTTTTTACTCAACTTTTATCGTAAGTGCGCTAAAAAAATAGACCTAATATCGTACACAAAGATTTTGCGTTATTTGGCGCGCTTGAAAAATTAAATAGTCATGCGTAATCGAGCAGTGTGTACAATTCTAATTACTAACTAGTTCAATTTGCCTATATTTCTTGCGCAAATTGCTCACGGAATCTTTGAACAGAACGGGGTCCAATCGCATGTTAGATCGCAATAATGGCATATACCCGAAGACAGCGACAAATGTGTTCATACATGTTTGTCGCTGTATGAAATGATCCGGGTCGTTCCACGGCGATCTAAAATCCAACGTGAGTCAGAAATCGATAATGATATCGTATATATGGTCTCAACGATAACCTACCTAATTCCAGCTACCATGGTATCTTTATACAATTTGCGCTGCGTCACTTTGATAGGCGGCCTTCGAGTTACGTGACTCACCAGGAAATTCATGAGTATATCCTCGCAATTCTGCGACTGCTCCACGGTCTTATGGAGAGTCGAGCTCAACAACTCGGTATACAGAGTATTATAATAGCGGTGGTAAAAAGCGGCACCGGTGAGAATGATACTGTAATCGTTTGTCCACTTACTGGTATAACCCCAGGAACGCTACGTACATAAAAGCTAGATTAGCTCGATTACGAAACAGTTACAGACTGGACGGAAGTTACTTAACGTAGACTGCATAATACTTACCTTTGAGTCATCCCAATAGTGAGACCTCGCTGGATACCCTACTATTCGATCGGGAAATGACCGCCAAACCGTAAAAGCGAAGTCAATCTCATCGGTATTTAGAGTAGCGTCCTCATCGAGCGACAATATGGCACTAGTTTTGATTAACGGATGAGGATAAAAACGTTGAGATATGCCGTCAACCGCGACAACATGGATTGACGCTCTGATACCTTGCCAACGTGGTTTTCTTGGCACCGGAATGTCCGAGTTCCACATAAGTATTATCTTAAACAAAATAATTTGTTAGCACAAAGATATATCGCAAAATGCATAGCAAACAGAAATAATAAGAAATTAGCAATAGATGGGCTTACCTTATCTAGGTACTTGCTTTTCGCGAGACTTCTAAGTAAACGATAAAGTACGGCGGTGGATCCCAATTGCGAATAGATTATGGCAGTGAAAGTGTTACCAGGATTACTGTTCGAAAAGGGAAGTTCTTGCTGGCTATCAGTGAATTGTGGCAAAATCGCCAATGCTCCAGGACTAGTATTCCAGACGATTCTCTCCCGCGCACCTTCCCATGGCAAACGCTCGCGAATATTCTAAATTGATAATTATAATTAACGAAAAACTGAAAATAAGGTTCTGATAGCTCATATAAGAATAGGCAATTACCTCGAACACGGTAAATACAATTTTTTCAATAGAGGAAAAATATCTCTCCCATAAAAATTGTGTTTGTTGCCGTAGTTTAAGAATTTGTACATTGGACACGGATCGTAATATATCTGGAATCTATAAAATTCATGAAATTTAATTATTCACTTTAAAACAAAGTAACAGTGAAATTGATTCAAAATATGCATTTATGTTTCTTACTTGGAGTAACAATCTCTCGTCGGAAAATATTACAGCCTGATTCCAATCAATACGTTCATGAAAGGGAAGAGCCCAACCATTGCTTAAAATGACTGGAATACATCCCGATCTCAAGGCTTCTAGAAACCGAAAGCTACCTAATCGTCGTCCTCGTGGAACCAGACAAAACGTAGCGTTCATTAATAAAATTTCATAGTCATATCTGCAAAATAAAAAAATATGAGCAATTACATTTTGAATAATGCCCATGCGATTCAAACAAACATTTCAACATTTTTGCTACTTACGTATCATATTCTTGATTATCCTGCTGACAATGTTCGTCTTGGAATTCTCTCCAGGTCTTCCCGTGACGGCAAGTTGTAACAAACACCAAATCTTTACCATTGTGCAGATGATAGAGAGCGTTTCTTGTCTCGGATCCAATGCCATGTACATATCGTTTTCCCTTAAAAGCTGCCACATACTTTTTATTATTAGGAAAATTATTTTCTAACGCTTGGCCGGGTTCTCCACCACGTTCCGGATGTTGTTTGCCAAACAGAGGTATTGACACATCAAAGTCAGGTCGGTGTTTAAAAATGGACATGCTGGCCTTAGCAAGCATGGCATAACCCACGTCGAAAGCCAGTGATTCTTCAGCATAATCGGGCCACGTACCAGAATATAAGTTAAATATCAGATGATTCCTTCCGTTATTCCAATATGGCAGGTGTAATAATTTCAAGGGAAGATTGTGTACAAATTCAGTCGATAAGGGATCTCTATCTAACGTATCCAGAGCTAAGACAAATATACATGCCCGTGCTGGGTCCGACGTGTAATATCTTGATTCCGTGATAACATTTAATATTTTTTGGTATAGTGGACTTATCACATCCTCGATCGGATAAACATACACGGTGAAACCTTGCTTGCATCTTGTAAAGTCGAAGCAAGTTTCCATACGGCAATACCGTGTACGCTGAGACATGACCAAAGCCCCGCTGGATGTCTTTAAATCTTTGTCATAGAACTCTTCATTTAGACTTAAATATGAAGGCAATCGCTCATAAGGCAACTGAGATCTGCCTGTCCATTTTTCGCTTTTTAAACGATACCCACCGAAATAGCAATAACCAAGAAACGCACATGTTACAAATAATAATAGATAGCGTTTCTTGGCTTGCATTTTCGATACAGTCAGGTTATACAAAGATATATGATAGTTCTAAGCATTATTTACTCCAATGTAAAAGGTCTATATTCAGTCACAAACACATTGTAACAGTTATTACATTATCTCAGAAATTTCTCCAGGATATAATCACGCCAGTTCTTTCATATTGCTGTAACAAAACAAAGATTCTACATGTCAATTATAAATAACTTTTCATTAAAAATGATAAAAATATATTTACAACAAAAGTAAGGAAAAATATTTTATACTATTAAATTTAATGACTAAGTAATAAACTTAACAAAAATTTAAAGAGAAATTACATATGTTACTAAGAGAACACTTGTTATCATAGTGACACAGTATCTCGTGATACACGCATATCTGCGATATCAATCCTCTCCATTCCAATGGAATTAAACAGAAAAAAATTCAGAAATTTAGATGACACTCGAAGAAAAGTTATCACCTGTTCGAAACTAAGACAGACGGTAGCTATTAACAGAAAGAGCTGCTCGTTCCTCACAAGATGCATGATGGACCGGCGGGACGACATATAAATCCGTCGACAAAATTCTATCGATGGTGCGCACAACGCGACGACAAATCATGCAAATAGGTACTGCGAACCCGCGGCGACAAATTCGGTCGATCCTCCAGTCGACTTGGGATAACCTATAAGCCGCGCGAACCAAATCCCACGCGATCGGCGATCTCACCGTAATTCCACGTCACGATCAGATCAGATTAAATGGCACGAGCAATCCATAATGATATCCTACGCGATACACCCGTCTTACGACACGGTCACGTATCGCCGACGCGACGGCATCACTATCATCCTTCTAGGTTATCTACGGCGCACAGCAATTCCGTCAGGCCCGGCGGCGACTTTACGCCCACTCGCATTTCGGGCCGATGCCGGACGGACACGCGTGGCATCGATCGCCGAGCGCCCACGAGTGCAAAATCATTGCACGCCGCGGCGCATTGAAATAATTGCTCTAAAAAAGCAAACGCGAACAGTGCCGTGACGTCGTCGCGGACGATTAGTAGACTGGCACACCGCCTACCGTCCTGCACTTTACGTCACATTCACGCTCGCGTCCTCGCGAGCTCGCGAGTCGCGGAGAGCGGCGGCAACTCGCAAACAGCGGTGAACCTCGCGATGCGTCGCGTCGCGGCGCAGAAAATTACACACTTTGCTAATTAACGGACGAATACGCATATTTGTATATGTAATAATAAAACTTAATGACAGAAGTTTCATACTTATATGTTTGTTTTATATAATGATTTATGTAAAGTTACATTATATAATAATTTATATAATACAATGTTTACGTGTTTGTGTGCGTTCGTAGAAACGATCATATTTGTACACAACATTACATGCTTTTTTAAAAATTGTATTGTGTAATTATTTTATTTAAATTTTACATAAATATGTAGATACGCGAAAACTGTATTATATATTTGTTTTGAAATAATTTCTAGTATAGACAGAGAATTGTGAATGTTTTTAAAACTTTGCTTTTGCGTGCAGTTTTTACATTTTTGCATAATTTGCAACTTTGCACGCATGTGCAGATATTATCACAATGTGTCGAATATGCATTTTATTCTTGTCAATAATGTTCGAAATATCATTCTATAAGTTTTCGTAAATCGTTAAAAAAAATTAGAAAGAAACTTTAAGCAAATAGTAAGGCAAAGCAATAAGGTTTTACTTAAAGATTAGGAAAGTTTCGCAAAAAAATTAGTATTCTATTTTTTTACTCTTTCGATTACTAATTTTTAAATTTATAGATGTTTACCTTTAAGAAAAAGTGTTTCAATATACTTTATTTAATTATTTAATGTTCAGTGATTGATGATATTCCATCAGTTACTGGTGAAATATCATCAATTTAATAGTTAATCAGTATATTGAAACACTTTTTTCTAAGGGTAATTACTAATTTATAGATATTTAATTATTATGATTACTAATTTACAGATTTATAGATATTTAATTACTAATTTATAGAAGCTGTATTAGAATCATTGCTGGAATGTCTCATCGATTAGTAATATTATACGAAGTTAGATATAACACCTTATTAATAATCAAACATATGTAAATCGATATTCCAAACTGAAATAGTCGACGGTATATCTTTATCGATCGACTCCCAATTTCTGGCCAACTTTGAACTTTATAAACTTGCAGAGTGTAATATACAGTTTGTAGCGAGAGAGAATTTCCGTGGGAGTGCAAGGCACGTTTCTTGGAACTAGGAAGAATGTAATACTCGAGCGAGTCGTACAAAGAGCTTTCGAATCGAGTCGACAATGCATGAATTCACAATCAAATGCAAGACGTCAGCTAAAACAAGAGGACAAACCAACTGGAGATGTTATACATACACATACACACACATTTAATGTACGTCGATCAATTCTTGGCGTAGTTTATTATTATTGGTATCGATAATTATAGCTTTTATATGCATACACGGAAAGAACGATTTTACACACACACAGAGGCATTTAAAAATTTACAGATTTGAAACTAATGTTGTTAAAACAAAATAATGCAGGAATCTCAAGCATGATGAGCAACGCTGCCAAACTTTTGACATTCCAGCAACCAGTTTTGGGCGACCTACATAATTATTTTGATGGTCCAACAAAATGATTTTCAGATCTGTATACGAGTATATCTAGATAAGTACTCGAGCAAAATCGTCCTTTCTATGTAGAGGTAAGATTATTCTCGTCAATATCTGCGCTAAACTCTATATGCACTATGGTGGTGTCACAGTGACGCATAAGGCGGCCCGTTGTTCGCAGAAGCGGATGTGGACGATTTGCAATTTAATAACCATTTCTCGTTAGCGCGTCGGAGCGAATCGCGAACAAGTTCGAACGATTTCGGATGCATGCGCGATCGGCTCGCGAGAGTTCCAATTGACTACTTACTCATGAAGACGATCAGCTCATGTAACCGATCGAATCGGTGGCTCATCCCTTATACAGTGTCCGTCATACTTCGCGAGTAATACTCTCGCGAAGATGATTTAAACGTCACGAAAGAGCAGCGCGTGTCAGTGAATCGAACGAGATAAATTAGAGATCAGCACCCCTTTCGGTGTGTCACTATGGATATAATAAACCCGACTATTACTTTTATTTTATGCGTTATAATTTCTTTATTAACCCTAGAATGCTATCCCTATTGAGTGATATTGCTATCAATACGTAATTTTTATGTACAAAAAAAGGATGCTCTTAATTAACATAATGTATCAAGTTTTTTATACATTTCTCATACTTTTAATGACAAAATATTTATAATCTAGATTTTTATAGACACAAAAGATTATTACATTTTATTATTAACTTCAAAGGAAAGAAAGAATAAGCACATTATTTATTAAATTCAATGTTGAAATAATATGGAATATATATATATAATTCAATATTATATGTATGTGTGTTTCCTCCTGACACTCAAATAAAATATATAACACAGTTATAACACAAAATAGTTTTTAAAAAAATTGAACTCACTGATATAATATTGACCATCTGGCAATCCAAACTGACGTGTATATTTGTGTGTGTGTATAACGGAGAGAATTTTTTAAATCATGTCTCCGTTTATGTTCTACCTTTCCAACAGATATTAGCTCTCCTAATGATCACTGAAGGCATAGCGCTCAATAAGCTCGCTCACTTGTACGTAAACTTTACGTATCGATAGCATTCTAAGCTTAATAAAGGGAGCTTTTTAGCAAGAGGCACGATAGCGTAACACACATTCTACAATAAGCCATTAGTACTAAATCAAAAGTCAGAAGCTAGAAATTGACCAATCATAGTAAATTATTTTTTTTTACATTTGACTGTGATTGGTCAATTTTTAGCTTCCGATTTATTACTAATGGCTTATATTGTAGAATAGTCATAATATAGTAAATCATTATATCTTTGGCGTTTGCTAATATTAATGAAAAACGAAATGATCACTATGTTGCACTGTATTTCTTGCTGAAAACTACCAATTAACACTATACTCGCTCGTTACCTTTATATTCCTTAATATCTCACGTCTGTTAAAAATAAGTTGTTACAATATATTTATTTTTATACGATATATTTTTAAACAATACGCAGTATGTTATATGTGTGACACGTAGTACGTGATACCGAAGGGTCGAAAGAAATAAATAACACTTCACACAGCATGAGAATAAAAGTTAAATAAAAATTAAAGTAAAAATACTTCCGGCAACGGACTGACGCGGACGCGACGATCCGATATCGATTCGTGAGTTTAAATGTTTCTCTATTCAAACTCATTCGGAGAGACTCGTCTTCCCGATACCGATCGTGCAGCACTGAATCGTGTTCCTTGACGAGTGGACGTCAAGGCATCGGAATTATGAAATCCTTACCTTGACCACACAAGGCACGATCGTTTCTCGGCATACATTACATATATATATATATATATCTACATGCGGCCGTATATTGTTCAACGTTCGCGAAGTAAACTTTTTTTACCGGCCGAGGAATTTGTACCCTATTGTTATGCAGACGCAAATGTTGATCTTTCGCGTGACGAGAGTCTTTTCGCATATTGGTGGAATCCTCACACGATCTTCCTAGACTCGGACGAGATAGAAATAACGAACGCTATTGATTTTGTTATCAATAGTGCTTAATTGTCACGATAAAAATTAACATCTGGATGTATGCAAGCTCAAGCCTCATCCTGAATGTTATCTCTGTGCGTCAGAGTGTATCGTTTAGCTGAACAATCATGTTGGAATATTTATTGAAAAAAAAAACCGTTACAAAAAGAAAATTTATATTACAGTTAATAGTGAATTATATATCATTATCGATAGCCTTCCGTGATCTTACAAAAAATTGCGTTCGTGTCAGAAGTCAATTATATGGAATCTACGATTTCCGTGAATTTAAATGCGTCAACATTATTTGTAAAAGAGCCAATTATAAAATCTTTGAAAAATTACTTATGCAATCATATTGAAAAATAATTTTTTTTTTGCTCCGCTAATATTTGAGCTGTCTTTTTTTTCTTCTTTTATAGCTTTTATAGTGCAGATAAAGTATCTGTTGAGATAAAGTATTACTTTAGGTTTTTATATCATTTCTTTATTTATATTTATTCCTTTTATTTAT